ATGTGTGCAGAAAGAGGCCTCATTGACAATACAATTATTGACATAAAAATGCATAATATTACAACAATAGAGCAGTATTAAGACAATATTATAGTAAAACATCAAAATACAATCATATTAGTATTGTAAACACTGAACTATTGAGATTAAATATTAAAAAACTATGGTGCAGTACCAAGTTGAGTACAGTTGGGGGTAGTATTGGACCATTACAAGGCCCCATTGACTCCCATTATATGAATTTGGAATAAAGTTTAAACATTAATATTTCAAAAACTACAAGTAGTACAGGCACCAGAAGGCATAGCAATCATTTGGCACAGGACCTTTACAGATAGAAATTACAATGGCAGATGTAGGACAAAGTATGCAGGAGGAGTAGTGTGGCGACGTGGAAGAAGACGGAATAAAGAGAAACAGGAAAACAGTAGTGTGCATTGCATTGGCAATGCACACTGATAATAATAATAAAGAGAAACAGGAAAACAATAGTGTGCATTGCATTGGCAATGCACACTGATAATAATAATAAAGAGAAACACGAAAACAATAGTGTGCATTGCATTGGCAATGCACNGAAAACAATAGTGTGCATTGCATTGGCAATGCACACTGATTAAAAATCGATACAGGGCTTTAGAATATCGATACCGTATCGGGAAATGAAATATCGCGATATTTCAGTGTATCGATATTTTCTTACACCCCTATGATTTATACGTAATGATAGGATAGTGCAGACTTTCAATCATTTCCACACTTTTCTGACGTACCTGCGAACACTGCTGCAACACCTCATCTTTAAATCTCARGAATCCTTCTTTAACTTTGGGATCATTCAGCGGGAATGACAGGAAGTGGGTGAAAGGCTGTTTCCTTCGGAAACTCTCCACAAGGACCTCGACTCGAGTGATCGCTGAAGAAACTGCAGCTTTGTGTGAACCGGTGATAACTATCAAAGGAGGGAGATGAATTGTAATCATTTTTTTTTTAAATCGTACATCTGTTTGAAAGTCAACAGATTTCCTCAGTCCTCCTCACCAATCTGTCCCTCCACTCCTTGTTTTGGGATGCTGATTGATGTTTTTGTGTCMGATTCCAGGCGTCTACGTGTTTCTCCCTTTTTCCCAATGATGTATCTGTTGACAGAGGATGCACACAAATGCTCACATATGCAGACACAAAACCTGCTAGCCTTGTGAGATTATGACAAAAAGCAGAATATAAACGACTTACTTGTAAAGAACACTGGGGACATCAATGGCGCAGCGATATCCCTTATCTGTCTGTTCAATTAAATGGCCATCACAGGTTTCACCCTCAGCAAGATCCTCTCTCTCTGGAAACATATAAATACTGTATTATTAGTTGTTGTTGGTGTTTTAATGAGTGCAATTAATTTTCATACTTTTATGCATGTCATGTTAATACGTACAGCCTGAACTTACCCAGTGGTCCCATGCACGAATAATCATCTTCCTCCTCATAATGTTCCTCCTTTACGATGTTTTTTCGATATATTYTCCCATTTATATTGATAAGAGGCGGGCGAAGAACATCCATATTGTTAATTAGTAAGCGTTAGCTGAAGCTATATTAATAAAATAACGCAAAATGATAAGAAGTTAATGAAAAACATGGGTAAACTAATTTAYATTTTCTTTGAAACTTGTTCAGCAAGCTAGCCGGTCAGTCCGTTGACGTTAGCTGCTTTGCGACAACTCGGGTTGTTTTKCGGTAATGTCGTGGTAGATCTATAAAACATACGCAAGATCACATTCCCTTCGGCGATAACCAAAATGAGCCATCCCTGCGTTTGTGAAGTTTTTTAAAAGCGCCACCACTTCAAACACAAAATAATGCTGTTTTGGTCGTAAATTTAACAATTAAACACCAGCTGCGTTGAAATAAAATCTATTCACCGGGGTTTTTAAGGTGGGTTTTACTGTTAGAAAACACAGTAGCGTCTAMTAACATTGATGTGTGCTTGTCGTTCTAAATGCTATGTTAGCTAGCTTCCTTGTTTACCACYTCGTACTTGCTAGCTTCAGCTTGCTAACTTTGGAAACTATAGTTTATTATAGAGCAAAACACTGGTTTGACTGAGGTTAGCGGACTCTTTATTGACTAAACCCCTGCATCGTTCTTGACTGTCTTTATGGGTTTCATTTGATAGTTTCTTAGGGCAATGGCAGCGTCTTCTTCGTCTTCCTCTGCTGGAGGTGTTAGCGGCAGTTCGGTGACTGGTTCTGGGTTYAGTGCTTCAGAGCTCATCCCTCCAAGAAAGGTTCTCTACACTTATCCCAAAGGTGCAGGTGAAATGATGGAAGGTAAACCACTTTAACATCTAATTTAAATTTTAATCGTGCAAGATACACTGAAGAAACAACTTTTCTAAGACTGGATTAGAACAGTGGTTCCMAAACTTTTTATCTTCTGACCCACAAAATATCCATGGCTTAAACTTGTGACCCCAAATATTACTGGTCTGAGTACCAAGGGTGTAACTTTAGGCCTTCCATTGGGGGTTATGCTCTAAAACCCTGCATGCCATTTTTTAGCAATTATGCTTAAAACGTTGATATATGACATTGTAATTTTTTTAATCAGGTCAAAGGTACACAAAGACAACAAAAGAGTTGCATCTGTCTTCTTAACCAGTTAATTTCTATTGTGTTTGAGCAAACAATGCCATTTTATGGGTGGGGGGGGTATTTTGACTGGATCAAATCTTTGTGGGGAGGTCATAACCCCCCTAACCCCCCTGCAAATTACGCCTATGCTGAGTGCACGAACTTCATTAATAACCCTAAAAACACAGGCTTTTTGACAATCTAAACAGTTTGTACACAAATATAAATACTTATTTATAGTTATTTTGTGTGTTTGTAATATTTATAGAGAAAATATTACATCAGCAATTATTTTATTACCCCTTAAATTGATTTCTGGAGATTATCCAAGGTACTTCATGACCCATAATTGGGTCCCAAGCCCAACTTTGGGAACCAAAGTGCAGTGGTTCCCAAACTGTTCAGCTTTTGACCCACAAAATAACAGTAGCAGAGACCTGTGCCCCCAGCTATTTTTGGATGATAAACATTTGTATCAGGTCAACTAAACATGGGCACAGTAACAATATTTTTATACTACATTTATCCATTTTAAATATACTAACCTCACACCTTTGTAACAACTAAGGCAAAAATGTAATTAATTCAGGAAATCTTTTCAGGACCCCACCTTGATGCTTTGGGACACCACTTTGGGTCCCGACCCCAACTTTAGGAAACACTGGATTAGAATATTTTGCCCTAAACAATGCTTAATCTCATTAACACTTGAAGGAATTGGGTGGATTTCAGTGCATAGAGAAATGGCTCAAAGCCTAAACTGGCCCACCTGGGCTCCTCAGAATGCACTACAGTGAGAACTTAATTTTTTTTTAGTAGATGAAAAGGGCAAGAGATTACAWTGGAAAGTCACAATGTAGAAAAATACACTTTTTTCTGTGCGCCAAGGACAAAAACAACCATTCAGGCTTGTTATCAGCATCAAGTTCAAAAGCTGGGCTCTGTGATGGTGAGGGCTCATATCATTATTGCCCTTGGAAAAGGTCATCTATACTTTTTTTAATGAGAGCATCAACGTACTGTCAACAACATACACTGCCTGGAAGGCTGTAACTTCTGCAGGAACAGGCAAAATGTGTAATGAAACCTTAGAGTGAATTATAGTTACGTAATGAAAATGATCTTTACCTTCAGGCTCTTTTCTGRAATTGTGTAATATCAAACAGGTGGAACAGGGAGTTTCCATGAAAGGTTTCCCTTTACAGGAGATGTGGTTTAGGGAGAAAAATACTTTATTTACATGGTTTCCATCGCAACCTTTTCTGCATACATTTTAGCTGGTGTTGACTGCAGTGTTGAGGATATAAAGCTGTGAGGAATATAAAGCAAAAGTGCACTAAGTATACAGTATGTGTAAGTTCATTTTTGAGTTCATCCCTCTCATCACTTACTGCTTGCAATTATACAGTATAAACTTATTTATTTTGATTATTATAAATAAATAAATATAGTAAACTAAAACCATGTTGCATAAGATATTAGGAGATGATGTGAAATAAACTTGACTGTTCATTTTAAATATGTTGCACACTTATTACAGTTTTTTTTTTTTTTTTTTTTTTGTCTTCTGTATTTTGGAATCCCCTCTGTGTTTACATGTGTTCAGCTACCAAGTGGCTTCAACGCTGAAGCAGGTTAAACAAGGTAAGTCAGTGAATGCGTTCCGCTAAATGCTCGTCTCGGACGGTTCGATGAACAGTGGAATAATAACGCAGTAACTGCTCTTGTGTGTGTTCTTTCAGATCAACAAGCGTCTCGGATGGAGAAACTTGCCAGCCTGGTTGAGGAGCTGGAAGCAGATGAGTGGCGTTACAAACCAATAGAGCAACTACTGGGATTCACGCCGTCTTAGATAAAGAGATTCAGTTTTGGTTCATAAATTTGCCAAATGGAATTAAAACAAAAGGAGATGTTTTTATTTCCTTTAAAACTTTGTTTTTTAAATTTTGTAYAGTAAGTGAATTATTTAAAGTGGCTTAACATGAGTTGTATTTTTAAACAATATTTTTGCTTTGTTGTTGAACGTCGCTGTCAAAACAGATCCACTCGAGAATTATGAAAACTTCTAATTACAAACTTTGTATTTATATATCTGCTTTAGGTTAATAAAAGTCTTTCTGCCAGTCCAATCTGTAATCAGCCTCAATGCTAAGGAAAGTAACATCTTTGGTAATAAACRCTTTCAAGTAAAGCATTGTGTTTCCACTTTGCTGCTCTTTAGCTCCATTAATCTGAAAACCTGCTGCTTGCTCAAGTCTCCCCTCCTTTCACTGCTGGCTTCTTATCACTGCCTGTCCCACCAGCACTACGAGCAAAACAGAGAGCTTGTAAATAAAGTTGAACTTGGACATTCTGAATTAGCTGTTTGTTTTACTTGGTGTTATGTAGTTTTTCYAATAATCCTCCTTACTGAAGCTAAGCTCCAAATATTTACAGCCCTTTTTTTCCCCACATTTATTTCTGCTTGAATAAGTTCAAAGTTTGACACTCAGTGTAATCCTGCATCATGTTTTTTTCTGTTTAAATCAAGGAGACGTGCAGATCGGATGGTTCAATCAGGAAATGGCTTGTTTCTTCTTTTTTTTTTATTTAGATGAAGGTTGGAAATGTACAGTATGTTCTGTTCTGGGCGTAAATGTCTGAGGCTGGCCCTGGACTTTCGCAGGACACACCTCCAGCAGAAGGTTTGCGTTCCTTTAGACGAAGCTTGATTTACAGCCCACTTTCTGAAGTGGTGTTCTTAGTGGTTTATTTACACACAGCCCACGTCTTTTCACTATGCAAATGTGACTTTTTTTTTTTTTTACAAGTTTCGTACGATCACATCTAAATCAAAACATCACTGCTAGAACATGATGTACTTACACGTGTTTACTGGATGGTTTTCGTTTCCTCTTTTACAAAAACAGTTCTACACCTACCCATGTGCAGAAGCATAGCGTTTATCTGGCTATTTCCTAGTTTTGTTTGATTTTTAACTAACTATAGTACATTGTGAACCCAGAAGTAACACTCAAGTGTTTGTGGTTTTGTTTTGTTTGTTTWTTCTGATGTTCTTTTGTCTTCTAGCAATTCCTCTTGTAAACCATGTTTCAGTGTTGTTCTCCTGCCTTTAACACTTATTTTGTGTAATGTATAGAATTTTTGGACTTTAAAACTGAGAAACAGATTAAACTTATGGATAGATCAAGGGTCTGCAACCTGCGGCTCTGGGGCCACATGTGGCTCTTTGGTCCCTCTGTTGTGGCTCTTTGAAAATGTGAGCAAACATAACAGAAAATCTTTTGTTTTTTATACTCACAACAGAAATCAATTTTTACGCAAAAATGTGATCAATACTACTAATACAAAAACATGTTAGCTAGCCCGTTGTTTACTTAAATAATCCAACTTCTTTCTCTCGAATCCATTGGAATTAACTTTAAAGAATTTGAAGACTACGTAGTCATAAGAATGAGAAAAAAATATACTTAAATAGTTCAGTTGTACTAGTTTTTATGAAATTCAGGATAAACTATATACAGTTTTTTTGTTTACCTAAATATTGTCTTTTCATTTTTCCTGATGTGTAAAAATAATAATGAAATTCACAATTTATTTTTTAGTTTTATAATGCCACGTCCACTGGCCGTAAAGG